TTATTTTTGGTTGCTATGACTAGGGGTTCTACAAAGTAAATTTATTAGAGGAGTTAGTATAAGATACATGGCTTTTGAATCAATAATCCAAAAGCATGAGATGAGAATCTTTTAGATTTTAAAGCCATGTGAAGAGGAGAATACTTAGAATATATTAGAATATGAGTAGTTGAAATGAAAATTCCTAGCAAGCCTTTTTGTGTTTTTTGTCTTGTAAATGTCGGCCTTTGAGAACATATTGCAAACATTTTAGATAATTTTTTTCATTCAACCATATATTAAATGAATGTTTTGCAACTCGTCTTTTGGATATAAATTGCATTCTTCAATTCCAAAAGAACCCGCGATTAAAGGAATGCGAGTATTATTATTGTTGACTTTGGAGAGAAAAATTATAGATCCATTCACAAGAAAAAGGAAAAAAAGAAGAAGAAAGGAACACAAGCAATGCCAGGGAAATCTACTGCGAAAGAGTCACATTTTAATTTTGCTGCGGTATAGGATCACAGGATTTGAGAAAATCGAAACAAAAATTTAAACACAGAAACACAGAAGCACAATCAAAGCTCAAAGCAACCAGAAATGTACACAAGGATTTTGCATGGAAAAATCTAAGAACGGGAAAAAAAATCATGGGACTACATCATCAAAAATTTCACTATGAAATTTAAAAAGTTTTACAAAGGACTCACAAGTTTCTTTTCCACACTCACACGAAGAAACTTATATGATATGAACCAACAATCTTCACTTTCAGATCCGACGGAAAAATTCACGCCGAATCACCGAAATCCAACTCTTCGATACTCCTCACCTTCATTGATATGCTTGTCGAAGAATCCAGAAAGAAGAAAACAACAAGATCTACATCCACGCTAAAAAATTGGCTTAAAAACTAATTTTTGGTGTAGTAATCGCACTAGGCGCTTAGGCGCCCAAACTTGGCGCCTAATCGCTAAGCGCTCTGTATCGGCGCCCCATAATGGGCGCCTATGCGCCGGCTCCTATTTTTGAGCAGCACCCAAGTGTGCTTAAGTGCGCACAACCAGATACATTTGCGTCGGTTGCCTTTTGCTTAGGCTCTACAACCCAACAACAACAAAGTCTGCAACATGGGAAGCATTTGTGGTCATGCTTTTATGAAGAAAAGGAGAAAAAGAAGAAAGAGAATTACAACAACGAAGTTTTATAGGTTATGGCTAACGTAGCGATTAAGACTTCAAACTTATGAAAATGTTAAGAAAACAGCCTAAGGTTTGGATATCATGACAGGAATTGAAATGAATTAGTTGATATTTTATTTCAATATTTGTATTTATTCAATCGTATGGGAGTCTCTAATGGGAAACATTCATCATTAAAGAATAATAATTACAATTGTTTCATTAGTCCACTAATTGATGAGCTGCAGAATAATAAATATAATATTTCATGGATTAATGCATGTGCAGTAGGGATCTCACGAATCAATGGGGTCACAATGGAATTAGAACCGAAGAGGGCAAAAATTTTGATGAGTGTGGGGTCTTATCTTATAGAAATTATGCATGCATTTTTTCATGACTTTCCTAAATTTATCATCCTCCATTTTTCTATTAATTTGTTTTCTTTATGTTTGAAAGCTTGTGTGTAATGTGCTTCAATATTATCCTTTTTTTCTGTGGTTTTTGTTTTATTAAGTTTGTTTATGGATGCAATATAACTTCATTCTTCTGCTTTTTTTTTTCTGGGTCTTTTGTTTTTCCAATTTCACTGTGGATTTTTTTTTCTTCTCCTCCTTCTCCTTCTTCTTGCTTACCTTATTTTTAAAACAAATATATATTTTTTGCAGACCATTTTTCTCATCTTTAGATTGTATTTCTGTTTATCGGATACTTATTCTTCAATAAATTTCCTTCAATCCTCTATTCCTCTTTTATTCTTTTCCTTTTTTATGTTGGATATCATGCTTGAAAATAATGCAATATACTCTTGAATTTTTGTCTTTTCCCAACTTTTTGGGATTCTTCTTTTTTATTTTGTTTTTTTTAATCTGTATTAGATATGTGGTCAAAATTTGTAATGACTTTAGGTACATAAAAAAGGATGAATTGAGCATGCAACAACACTTACTAAATTATTTCCAACTCAAAATACCATTAAATATGTGAAAATAAATAAATAAATATTCAATCAAGTAATTCAACTAATCATATAGCATTCAATGTAAGTGCTAAATTGGTTATGCTAATGAAGAACACGAATTCAAGTACTTTATCCAACTCAACTTTCATGAACAATCACATAACGCATGTATGATTATGTAAGTGAGCGAGCAATATAATTTTGGGGGATTTACATATATAGCACATAACTCTTATGTATTTACGTATGTAACATTTAAAATTTAAAATTTATTTACATAATACCTAATTCTTTAACATTAAATTAAGAGCACTCCTAATATTAAATTTCTTAAGTGAATTACACATGTTGATGCATATATCTTGATATGATTGTGACACTAAAGCGTTATAAAAGTAAATATCAGAAGTTAGGTGTTAGATATAAATACATAAGTGCAATGTATAGGAAAATCCCTATATATTTTTTAAGCGCAATGTAAATAATCTGCTTAATTACACAAGCTTTGGTTACTTTGATTACTCAACACCAAAGCTGCATAAATGTACACACAACTAGGAGTTTATATAATTTTACACATTGATTTTCTTTGACCTATGTATTGTCGTGCCAGTCTTGTAGCATTGGAGCCTCTGATTAGATGCGTTCAGAACATTCTGGTATGCTTGGTTATATCTGGGGAGGAATTTGTGTTATGGAACGTAAATATTAAGAACTTATGTTATTAATAACTAAATTAATATAAACTTAAATTATATTCTATTATGTATTAAATGTTATATAAAAACTCAATCAATCTAATAGAATAACAATTAAGATTAAATTCATTAAGTATTAAGACCTAATAAGCTAAGTAGGCAACTTTAATGGAAGATGGAGTAGCTAATGATGGGGAAATTCCGTCAACTAGAGACAATTACACCACATTTGTTAATTACTAATTAATCCACAATTTTCATTTCTTGAAAAATACGAGACAGCCAATAATTAAGTGCAAGATAAGATAGCATGCATGGCATAAAAATTTTAGGGTGATTTTAATACATAACATATAATAGCTAACCTCGTGATTACGTATAGAACATTCAGCACATAATTACAAGATAAACAATCAATTATTCAGGACATATGAATGAAAGTTATATAAAATTTTTCTAGTAGAAAAAATGAAGCAAGTAATCACATGATTATATAATAACATGGATATGTTACATGCAATTAGAGTTTTTTAACAATTAACAAAAAACTCTTTCAGTATCCCTTGATTGAATTTTTTATCATGAAAGTAAAACTTTATATCTAGTTAAGATACCCATTGAGATTTGTAGACTTATGAATGACATTATAATTGTTGAATTTAAATATTTTCAATAAATTTTTGAAATACCAAATAGTTGGAAAACAAGCATTTAAATATCAATATTTGAGAATAAAGTTATGCAATTTTATCAGGTATCAATAATCATCAATTAATTTTACTAGAAGATAAGGTGATTTCTTGTTGTAATAGTTTGAGTATCATAAGATCTTTCATATAGAATAATAAACATATAGTTGATACAAAAAATTGGTTATGAAAATAGAGAAATTACTTGGCATGTCGTGCGGTAATTGAATAATATGAAGAATTAAAGCTAAATTTTATAAACTTGTAAGGCAAATTAGAATTTTATAGATTTGATTCTCGGGTAAAAACCAGCAATAATGTAATTGATTGCCAATTTAGTGTGGTGGAAGTGAAATTGTTAGGATGTTTGTATGATTGAGTCAAGGATACATTGAAATTTATTTATATTGATTGGACATTGGGCATGTGATCTATTTATTATAATGTCACATAAAATTTATTTGATGATATTGTATTTATTAATAGAGCTAAATGATTTGTGCACGTACAATGAAATATCGAAGGATAATTAAAATGTGTTTGCAAATGTTAACATGGGGTTCTAAAAGATTTACACAATGTTGGCATAAACTCTTATGCAACATTTAATAGGGATGAATGGAGAGTGAGAATTCATAAAGCAATCCTAAACAATTGGGATATGAATAATGGTGGTGATGATATTTTACTTTGCAATATCAACAAACCAGCATTTTTTCCATTGGATATCATGATTAGCTGCTTCGTATGAGATGAAATTTTGAACTTACTTTTGTTTAATTATTTTGCAGAAATGTAGAATTTCAATTTTCTTGTGATTATGTGAATTTGTGACATTTTTTTATAAGTTGTAAACTTTTATTATTTTTAAATTCTACTAACCATTATCAAAGTCTTTTCTTATTCACAACGGTTTGCAAAATTTATACTAGCAATTCCCATGGGGATTGAATGCAATTTATCTTACTTTTTCTGCTGGAAGCATAGGAATGGGAAATCCTATTAATAACTCTTAAGAAACAGCATAAAGTACATAAGAAATCCTGTGTTCTTCATGTTATTAGCTTGATTCTCTAATCGATGATTCTGGATTGTAATTTAATGGTGCCAGGAAATGGAATTGGATATGGAAAAAATGCTCAGTATTGTAAATTCATGGGAACTACGAATTCAACGCCATATTAAGGGCGCCATTGACAGTATAAGTTTCGTGCATCCTGGATCATTTGCACCTCCGTAGGTGCAATTTAAATCTTTTATGATAGCGTGATTGTATCAAGCCTTAACTACGAGACTAAGTTAATTCATTATTATATTTCATTACTTATTGAAGGTTAAGAATGAAAATGATCTAAAGAACTAAATGATTCGAGGGTAGCAGTTCAATCTCAATTTTGACTTAAAATGGCTGATTTCTTTCCAAAATACTTTTTTGTGTATGGATTGTAATGATTGGTAATATTTAGCTTAAAATTTTTCTCATTTTTAGATGGGACAACAAATTTTGCGCATTGTTATCCAAGCTTTGGTGTATCAATAGGAGTTCTCTTTCGCGGAAGGCCAGCTGCTGCTTCTGTGGTAAATGATCTTGCAATATATGATCTATTATTTTGGAAGCAAGAAGAACACTAAATTTCTTTTAAAATTGGGGCCGCCAATTTTCAAGTAAATTTATTTTTTACTTGGAAGGAAAGGGAGTGTTTATCTATAGAAGAAAACAATCAAAAGAATTGATTGTTTATAGGATAAGGTGTGGAATTTGAAAGGTTGTGAATTAATCTTTCATAATTATTTTCAAAAAGTGGCAAATTATCTTGTTTTAGTGGATACAATCTCGCGTGGGATGAGATGATTGGTCTATTAAGAATATTGTTGTAGAATATTGGGCTAATAATTCTAGAAAAAAAAAGGCATGAATGCTACATTTAGACAACACAATTAATGCAATTTAGAGGCATGTCGGCGCTTAAAAGGGGAAAAAGTTAATGTTTGGGGGTCGCCCGTAAGAAGCTGTCGGCAGCTGGAATCGAAATCCCGTCGCCCGCTTCGGAAAGACTTTTTAATTTACGTATATATATATAATTTTAGAAAAATATAAAATCAAACTGACCTCATATTTTTTTCACAGTTTAATTGAAAGAGCACTCAACCTCAAATCTTGTATCTATCCCGAGGGATAAACACAAGATTTGAGGGTGAGACTCGATCAAATAAACTAAGAAAGATATGACATCCGTTTGGGTCTGCGAAACCGTTTTATTTGAAGCTCATATAGTTAATTACATTTTAAATGACTGAAATCTCTTAAGAATACTCTCGATAAAAATAAAAAAAAATTATCTTCAAGGACTTCAAAAAAGATTAGACTTTTCAATCAAATTGGACAAAGAGGTGTGTAAAAGGGAAATGTTCAAACTTGGAACATTTATTACAAAATTCAAAGGAAGAAGAACTAGAGGATGCGACAGATCCAGATGAGATCCTCGGTGACTTTCCAGTCTACCCTATGGTTTGGCTTCAGTTTCGAGGAGAAATATTCAAGTTTTTTATCCTGCCAATTTTATTTATTTAGGACTTACATTCGCGTGAAACGATCACACAAATAGCCTGGAAGATGTGAGGATTTAGGTCGTAACGAACGACAACCTCAGAATCCTAAAACGAGTTAGGGCCTATATCGTATAGCAGAGCTATACAAATGCCTAACGAAAAGGTTGAGGATTTATGTTGCGCTAGGCGAACAACCTCGAAATCCTATGGATTGTTATTTTAATTTCTAGGAAATGAATGGTTTAACTGGGGAAGACATGTTCTGTTGTTGAAGATGGTCGTGCTGCCCACCGCGCTAGTTTCAAGTTCCTTGTCGTGACGAGTTTAAGTTTTCTAGGGTGTCAGGTTATAATATCAAATCCAGCGGCCCTATGGTTGTAGTTCTTCAGATATTTTATGGATAACATGTTGAAGTTGTACAGTGTATAGCATAATAGTAGAATATGTAGCACAGGGCAAGCAGTAGGGTATGCAGTAAAAAAAAGTACAACATGCAGTGTAAAGAAAAGTAAAAGGTACAGCAGGGAAATGATTATAAGAGAATAACATGCTGTAAACGCAAAACAAACTTGTATATCTGGGATATCCACTGTTCCTTAGGTGTAATTGATGCAACAGGTACAAACAAAAAACTTGAGGAAACAGATTGAAATGCTTTATATAAACGAAAACAAAGAGACATCATTCAGAAATCTCAAGGAAGGTCGTCTAAAGACTCACGACAAGAGAAATGCAAGGAAATCATCGAATCGACAAGTCGATTAAAATCGTAGAAAACACGAGAAAATCTAAAGAAAAAGAGACCACGTGTGCTTTGTCCAAAAATTCCAAGAAAAACATATGAAAAAGTCTTAGAAGAGGGGACTGCAAGCACTCGGGTCGGGGCTAGGCTCAACTATATATTAGTATTCGAGGGTCGTCGAAGGCTACTCGGTCACCGGGATGTATAAAGTCCGCCATTCAACTAGAAGGGTGTCCTATCGAGCCTCACTCAGGAGGGTACTGCTTGGCTTAAATAGGTAATCAACAGGTGGACAACTGATGTTTAAGATGTATTTAAAATTTATATTTTCAACATGCACATAGGTTTCAAACATGCAAAAAGTGGGTTGTATTAATTTTTTTTGTAGCGAAAAATGTATTTTTGTTTTAGAAAAATGTGTATTTGTTCCTATTAAGTTTATTTGTACTAATTTTGAGAAGTAGTTGTCCACGAGTCGATCGTGTTGTCGGGCATAAGACTACCAACAACCTAAGAAGATTCGGGTCAACTCCCGCTAGTCTTGTGTCGGTGAATGATATTGTCATCCTACAGCTCACCGGGTTCCTGAATCGGATCTTGATGGATTCCTGAATCGGATCCTGATGTCGTAGGATGACATATCATTCTGCACTATCTCCGGTGGGCCTTTGTCATCACCGCTCTACGCCCCAAAACAAAACCAACTACTTGCGACCTTATTTGATGGTTTCACGTATATCAAAATGCTATACGTGAACACTTATGTATCGGACATAAACATCGAAAATCGAACTAAGAAGCAAGAAAAAAAGAATAAAAATGGGATGAGAGAGAGGAGAGACTGATTCACCTAAAATATCGAAAATAACGAAGGATGAATCAGCCCTCAAAGTTTGTGACAAAAAGATTCGAAAAGGAAGACCCGAAAATCCTTGAATCAATCCGAAATGGATATCACTTTCTCACTTTTTTTTTTTAAATTGGACCAACCCGAGTCAAAATGACCTCCTAACGCCAGTATCCAAACCCCAATGACATCTTTAATGAAATTAATTTGTCTCAACCAAATACTTTTCCAAAATAAGATTTAAAATCTCCCAAACTTCAAAAAGAAAATGATCTCGGGAAAACCACCACTAATATTTTCAAACTCATGCCGAAATCAAAATTCTCCAACTTTCGAATTAATAGATCGCCTCATACATCAAATAAACATGACATCTCCCTATCAAGCCACATAAATGCTCACGACCGGGGTCAATAGAGAGGAGGAGAACAGCCCACAAGGCTCTCGGCCAAGGCAAGGAACAGGGACAAAAAAAAGGTTCACAGCGAAAGCAAAGGACAACTGCCAAGACTCACAGCCAAAGGCAACCCAAAGCACACGCAAAGC